TATTAAAATAAAAGTATTATAAAATAATTAATTTAATGAGCAAACGTTTTTAAGACCAAGTATTTCAAAAAAATATAGGTGATTCATTAAAAATGATACTTTTTAAATTTTTTGTTGAAAAATTATTAAACATCTTTTTTTCAATAATCTTTTTCATAAAAATAAATCTACCTATATACTCCTAATCCACATCTATAGAATTAAGTTTTTTTAAACATTCCCTAAAGAAAAAATTGGTATAAATATTCATACAACTATTCTAAGTTTTGCAATTTTTACACAAAAGTCATACATTTTTCTCTATTTTAGATGCCAATTTATTATCAGATTATATCAGAAGATAAGTCTAGAAGTTAAAATTTTTTATCAAAGTAAAGTATATTATATAAGATTTACTTTAAGTTATATTTAAAAAATGCATAGTTTTTGTAATATTTCGAAAAATTAAAAAAAGAAAAGTTAACTTCTTATGCAAAAGTTGCTACTTCAAATATATTCTGTTTCGGGCATGGGGTGAGATCTTCAAAAAACATATATCTATTAGTAGTTGTATATCTAAGATGTTCTTAAAAAAATTTCAATTTGGTTCATTTATTTCCAAAAAGTAAAAAATATATTGAACTTTCCCAGTTTTAAGAATTGTACTTTTTTAAAATTTCCCATGATTACTAGGCCAAGAAATTTTTTTTGAAATATTGAGGGAAATGTCTTCAAATGAATACAACTTGTAGAGTGTTATTAATCAAAATCTTTTTGCTATACCTTTAAATTATTATAACTCTAAAAGTAGTATTATAAAACTGGTTATTGACCAGTCAACATTTTATTTAATCTATTCTTCATATAATAGTATACAAATATTTTTATGTTTCCATTTAACTTCCGAAATTCACCCCTATAAAAAGTACTCTTAGAAATATTTTTGTTTAAAATAAACTTATCAATTATAATTAATTTTATTAAGATTTATTAAGAACGATTTTTAAGAAATTACTGAAGTGATTTCTTAGTTTGATATTTATACAAATCGTTAAACTCACGCAAAACTTTATCATAGTAATGAATAAATATTTTTCTCATAATATTTCTTCTTTCTTGTACAATATTATTATATGTTTCTGTATCTAAAAATATTTTCAAAGTATTTATCATTTTTTGTTTACAGACTAATATGAACATATGAAGTTAGAATTCAATATTTTTACTAAATAAAACGTTTAATCTTAATAAATTTAAACGTTAGTCGTTCCCTATAATGAGTTGATAAAATGTTGAGAAGAATATATAGTTTAATTATTGTCAATCTAACATTTTTCATTACATATGTGTTGTGCTAAGATATTCCTTTTTGGTTGTTCAATTGATTTAATTTTTTTAAAGTCGATTCACTTCGTTTTTCGCAGTACCTTTTTTTATTTAACCAATAATATTTATTGATTAAGTTATCTATAATATTATCCTTAATATTATAAATACATAAAAATTTTATTTGTTATTTATATTTTAACAACATAAACCAATATTTTTTAAGTAATAAAAAACTTTAGTATATAAAATGTTTACCTTTAAATTTATATTCATCTAAATTAAATAATTATTTTATTGAATAAATTATAGTTAATATAGATACTTCAACAATAATACATGAAATTAAAAACTATTTCATTTTGAATTTTTATTTTAATTTATTCACCTTGCTTTATACTTAAAGTACTATGAAGTATAAGATGATTGATGTTTTCTTCTTGTATAATAGCTCTTTTGAAATACACTTCAACAACTAAAAAATTGTATATATAAAATAAAATTTTATAATACTATAATTATTTAATATTTATAAGCACTCTCTAAGGAGAAATTAATTTTCTTCCCTATATACAATAATATAAATAAATTTTGAAAGAATCCCCTCGGTTTTCATATAATATTCCCACATCTAATTTTTTAAGTACAGTAATCAGACTATCTTTCTTGAGTTAATGCAATACGATTTGGTAGCTCAAATAAGATTAATCTTTGGTGTTGAAAAACAGCCAGAAATCAAAAGAAAGATTTTAAAAAAAAACAAACTCAATGGATAGTCAAGTACATTTAAAACGCTCCGATTATTTACACGATCAAGAATTAGTAAAATTTTACTGATGCTTTTGTACAGCCGATTTTCTTGTATTTTCGCTCTCCAAATTTTTCAAAATTATTTTTTAAATAACATTGATGAGTGAAAAAGAACAGCCTTGCATGTTCTACAGTTTTTAAATTATACGTAACTCTTTTTCAGGTATCTTTATGGGTTTCTAAGAAGTGCACGATGAAAATTAGATTTATGTAGATTGCTAAAAGAATGATTTTCACAGTCTATATTTCCCCTTTTCATAATACTAAAATATATTTTTGAACAATATTTCTATCCCATATAACGTGTGTATAAAATTTACATTTTGAAAGAAAAAATGTGTAGTAATTATGTAAATAAAACCTCAAAGAAAAATTTTCTCACACTTAAATATATTTTTATAAATTAAATTAATTATATAAGGTTGTTCAAATAAATTTAGATTCGATTTATTTACAAGTTAAAATATAATTATTAAATTTATTTTACTGGTTGTTAAAAAAACAAACTAAGGTCAATCCATGGTTATTCATCCAGAAGTGATTGCATGACCAATTCATTTTTTTCTTAAATTTTTAGAATTTAATCTTTATCCTATATTAAGACTAAAGAAAATTTTTTTTTATGACCCTATTTTTATGGATATTTCAATTAAAAAAAAGTTTTAAAAAGCCAGAACGTTCAAAAACATACAAATTATTCAATATTAATTTAATTGAATTAAAATTTTAGACTTAAAATTATTATAACTTAAAGTGTACATAAAAAAAAAGAATTATTTGAAATTCTAAA